GTCAGTATTTTAAGTAAATAATAATAATGCGATTTTTGTGTAGAAAGAATTGCTTAACAGCAACTTTGCTAAATGGAGGAAAATTCTGAAATTTTAAAAATGTTATTAATAAATGTCCCTTTATTAAATAAATTGGGGAAGAATCTTCATGGTTAGCTTCGCATATGCCGATTAGATTCGGGAAAATTCCGTTTTTCTCTATGACGAAAATTCAATTCTGGCAACCTGTCGTCCATAAATCCTCCAGACCGTTGCGGTTTTTGCATTTCTATTCCGACGGCCGCAATAGCGCAGAAGATTTGATTAAAAAGATCGAGGCCTTAAAATGTAACATCCTCAGGTCCAGGTCTCATTTCGTCAATATTGGGGCCCAAGATGGCAGCGGTAGTCTTGAGTGATTGGATGACATATTGGGGCATTTGCATAGGAAAAAACAAGCCTGTCGGAGTAACAGGTGGCTGAACTCCGTCTTCCTATTGGCGCATTGATGGTTCAGTTCCATCTCGTCCAGTAGTAGGCAATTGTTCCGACTTAGAAAGAACGATAAGTAGCCGATCAGATCCAATATGCGGGATAATCGTTGTTTGTATTGGAGCTGACGGTGGGAGCAAAAACCACCTTTCGTTGCCTTTATCTTTAATATTTATATCGCACTTAACATGTAAATACAATGCGCCCTCGCATGGCAACGTTGAAAGCTCATGATTGGCCGATAACCCATACATGCCACTTGATTAGATAACGCATGATCCTATTTAAGACGGGAATATTAACACATTAAGATGTACTCGAGTTTTTTCGTTATTGACGCCTCACTGCATCCACACTTGTTCACTTCGCATGAGTTTTTGCGCCGACGATACAACCATCAAAGCGACAGACCCTGGGAGCGATACACGCTGGCTTCAAGTCTTCCAAACGCGAAACGTGGTCTTGATTAATCAGCTACTTAGTATTTCATGCGCGAAATTGAAAATTTATATCTGGCAACCATGGACGCGATCTCTGTTGTACAGAAAAATTCAATTACGTCACCAAAACACGAATAGTTGAACGTCCAAGGTCGGTTTGCGATCGAGCTGGCTTTATTAGATATTGTCGTTTGCAACTTTGAGAGAGCATGGCTTTTGTTTATTATTGTACACGAAAACTTCTCGGTCACTCAACCTGGTTTCTGCTGTTGTGCAGTTAGCCCGATAACTATATGCCCCTTTTCCGAACAATGCAAAAAAAGCAGAAAAATGTGCTAATATCAGGCAAGTGAAACGCGCCTCTATTGGCAAAGTTGCCTATAAACCTCGATACGACTTCAATATTAGGGGCACTTTTTTATCCGCAAAGGATCCAATATTAAGACGAATCGACTGGAGAAAGTTCCATACAGCCCAAAGCAGAACACAGTGGGTCGAAGCTTAATAAAGTTGATTGAACGCATCAATTACCTAAAATCCGCTTCAATTTTTATATGAGAACATATTCCATATACTGGGTGTCCGGTTCATAGTGGAAAATTCTCGCAGTTGTAAATGCCGCGAGCACCAAAGGGCTCGAGCTGATCTTCGCCTCATAACCTCACTTCACAACATCAGTTTTCATTATGCGCATAAATTAGACCGTTAGATGTTAACGGAAAGTTTTCTGGTGTTAAGTCTGACCATTACACATTTCGTGACAATTATCACGCAAAAACGACTATTTTTCAAACTATCTCGGTTAGGAAACACCTGCAATCAAAACTTTTAATTGAAAGTCTACTTTATTTTTTATTGTATATACTTTCCTGACTGTGTTTCCATTCCAAATCAAATTCATTCCTGGGTTTCAGTCATTTATTGTCTCTATTTATCAATCAAAATACGTTTCGGTGTATTTTTCCACCATCATCAGTTTCTATGTGTAGCGTTGTTGCTGCTTTAAGCCTTGGCATGCATTTT